TTAAACCAGATGTAAGTTAAATTTGATGTGTAAAAAACGTAATTTTTAAATCAATGTTTTAAAAAAATCTGTTCTAATTTTTTTTATTTTTTTTGCAGTCTGTTTGGGATCGTCTGGGACCAAAAGTGGTGGTGGACCCAACCGTGAGTGAGTCAAAGGAGAAGCGAGCAATGCTAGTGGACCCCCCGTTGAGTGACCCTGAAAAGAAGAGGAAGAAAAAGAAATCCTCACGCAAGGACTCTTTTCCAAAGAAGCCTTCTCTACCTTTCAGGAGCTCTTACGTGGTGAGTGAGAAAACAACATTTTCTATTTAGCTCCTCTCAGAGGAAAATCAATGCCATGATTTAAAACTTTTCAGACTAAAGAAGAATTGTCTGAAGCCCTCAAGCAGGTTGAGAAAAAGAAAAGAGAGCAGGAAAGAATGAGAAAGAAGGAGGAGGAAGATGCATTAAAAGCTGCCATTCTGAAGAGAAAAGAGGAGTTGAAGAAGAAATTGGAGAAGAAGGATGATGAAGAAGAAAAGAAGAAGTGATTAACTTTATACAAGAACATCTGTTTTTTATGTATTAGGTCTGTACAGGTTTTTGTTTTTTTATTTTATTTTGTATGAGGTCATATAATTATGCTACGAGTTTTTTTGTACAACCACTTTCTGTTTTATTTGAATACACTTTGATAATCAGTGAAAAATGTGTCGGTCATCTTTTTCTTCTTCAATACTTGTCCCTTGCCTACGATGATTTCACTAAGTTGATGGTTCTATTACATTTTATTTTGGCGACAGAAACTGAGAGCCTCTTCGAGTTGAACCAATTCATTCACTTTTTATATGATTCGAAACTTCTTTTGAGTCCGAGTGATAAATTTTTATCATAACTATGATGGGGATGGGCCTCTCGTTATGTTTTAGTTGAGTGACACTCTTGAATTAATTTATTTCTGACCTATGTTGTGTTGGGCAGTTTAACCTTATAGTGTGTGAGTCGGTTTTGGTAATGTTATCTTGCCACAAGGAGCTGCTCAGTCAGTTTTGACTTGCTGAGTGCCCCATTGATTTCCAATAGAGATTATGTAGTGGAGAAGCTTCTCTGATAATTATTTTGATGAGATTTTAAAAAAATTTGGCTTAATTTTGAGTGAAAGAGTCACTCACTTTATCGGCTCTTATTCCAACGGAACAAGACACTAAATTGTTTGTACTGTAAGATTGACTCTTGTCTCCTTCTGTTTTCATCTATTTGAGCTTAAGCACATTTGGTATTTAGAGGCCAGAGTATCTTTTCATTAAAGAAGTGTAGAATTTATGAAGAAAAGTTGACATTTTGTTACTTTTACTTCAGAGAACTATTTTTTTTTATTTTTGCAACTTATTTTGAGTTAGAGTGATAGACTCTCAGCAAGAATAGGAAGGGAATGAGCCTCTCGTTATGTTTTAGTGGAGTGACACTCTTGAAATAATTAATTTCTGAGCAATGAAATATGGACAACATAACCTATTGATGGCTGACTCGACACTAGAGATATGGAAAGGTGCGCAGGGCAGCTGCACAGTCAGTATTGACTTGTCGAGTGCCCCAATGATTTTGAATAAAGTTTATGTATTGGAGAAGCTTCTCTGATAGTCATTTTGATGAATTAAAAAAATTTTTGGTTTAATTTTGAGAGATAGAGACACTCACTTTCTCCGCCCAAAATCCAACGGCTGAGGTGACTGAAATGTTTGTACACTAAGATTGTCTTATGACTCCTTCTGTTTTCACTTATGAAAATGAAAGCACAATTGGTATTTAGAGTCCACAGTATCTTTTTTGTTAAAGGGAGTGAAGAATTATTGAAAATAAGTGGAGTTTTTGAACACTACACTGTAAGATTTGTAAGAATAGTTTTAGTGAGAGAAGGCTTCTGTCTGAATAAGTATTAAAAGAGAGCTCCGAGAAAAACATATTGTTTTCCTTCAGTCATCATTGCTCTATGAAAAGGGCCTGCCTGCTACTCCGTGCGCTTTTAAATCAGACTCCTTTCATTTCATTTTTTTTTTTTTGGGTTTTGTTTTATATTTCTTTTTTGTATTTTCAACTATTGTATTCCTTTTTTTTGTCTTTTTTAAATTTTTTGGAGGAATTTTCTCTTTTTTAAGCCTCTCTCATTGCCTGATAAATGGCTTCTTTGATGAAATCTTTATGATAAGACATCAGATCTAATCTCACAGAGATAGGGAAAGGAGACAGGTAACTCCTCATTGCTCCAGCCATCAGATTATCTGAATGGTCTCGAGTCATTTGTACTATAGACTGGGGTGTCTTGTATCCAATCCTCATACAGTATTCCTTGCAGTGGGAAATAATATGGTCAAAGTTAGACCTGGCAAGGATTGACATTTCCGTCAAATTCATGAGATGGTACTCTATATTTTCTTTCAGGTTGTAAATCATCTTCCATGTAGAGAGAGCAAGGAAAATTTTAATGGGAGATTCTTTTTTCTCAACACACACTGTAATAAATGTTTTATCTTTGTTAATTGAAAGCGTGATATCCCCAAAGGAAAGAGGTTCTAGCTCAGTTCTTTTTTCCAGTGCATTTAAAACATGCATCTGGACTTCTCTGGACATCATGATGTTCAGTTCGGCTGGACTCATTCTATGGTAAATTCGATTACCCTGTTTGTTGGTTTCACCGAAGAACATCACAAAGGGGGAAAAATCAGTGGCTACATCTAAACCAACTCGAATAGTTTTAGAACCATTCTTAGTGAGTGCAAAATCTCTTGGGATGCACTGTAAGGGGAATTCTGAGGGACTGGAATTATTTTTTAGACTGACATGTATTTTCATGACAGTGGGGGTGTTATTTAGTCCCAATTCCTCCACAGTCTCATTAGCCATCATTTGATTATAGGCCTCATTACACATCTGGTCTAGCAAGTCAGAAGTGGTAGAGGACTCACTAGTGGAGTCATACAAGTCTGAACTTGAAGACTCTACGGCTGTTGGGGGTGGGGCAAGGGGGAGGCTCGAGGACAGTTCAAAGTCCATGAGCAAGTCCTCCGGGATCTGGGGGAGGGGGGTCTCGCCACTGGGCACCTCGGCGACGGCCTCAGGGGCCTGCTCGCCGCGCACCAGCGGGAACTCAATGAAGTCGACGGGCGCGGAGGCGGCCGCGTCGACGGGGACCTCGAGGGAGTCCAGCAGACGCATGCTGGGCGCGTTCTCCTCTGAGGCCGAGAGCACTCCAACTACGCCGGGCTTGACGCCACTGGGGGCGCCGGCACCAGGGGCAGCCAGTGCACTTCCCTCCTCGTTGGCCACGGAGGTTCGACTCTCCTCGTCCAGGCCTAGCTCGGCCACCAAGTCCCCCAAGATTTGGCGCTTGGCGCGGGGCTTCAGGCTTAGGCTCTTCTTGGCCACCCTCTTCACGGCTTGCTGCTTCGGGGCAGACATTGTCTTGACAAAGACAGTTTTCTTCTGTGCTGCGACTCGGACTGCTTCTTGCTGCTGCTTCTGGTACTTCTTGACTCGGCGACGCGTGACGTAAGACTGTGCCGGTCCTGGATCGGGGGCGCGCTTTTATGTGAGCACGGCGCGACAGTGGCGTCGTCTCATGTACAAATTTGGAACTATTGAACAATACCCTGGCGAAAATCGTAACGACAATAAAGCGTTTCTTGAGCGCATCGGGGCGTTTGCGGAGCGCATCTGAGCGTTTCGAGGCGTTTCAAAGGCGCTTTACAACGCCGCTCTGTCCAAAACGCATGAAAGCACTCAGCGATCGCTCTTCAGAGCGCTGTTGGGGCGTAGTGTCGGTGCTGTAGAGCGCTCTTGTCGGCGTGTTGCGCAGCGTTGCAATGCGCCTGAAGTACGCTCTGCAGGGTGTTTGCGGGGCGTACTGAGTGTGCTGCACTGCGCTCTCACGGGCGTTCTCTCTGGGTGTTGTATTACGGCTCATGAACGCTCCTCAGAGCGTTCACACAGCGTACTGGTGCGTTCTGTAAACCGTCGTTTCGGACTTAGTCGCTGGCACTGCGTGACGCCGCGTCTCCCCCACCAAGTCACCTAGAGTGTTCGCAAGGCGCTCTGAAACGCTGTCGTCCGTTCCCCGCCGGTGCAGTGCTATATGAGAGCCACACGCACAGCATTCCAGCAAGGAAGCCTGGTAGCTCCGGGGTAGCGTGCGCGCTCTCGGGCTATCAGGAGCACAAGGCGTGGGTTCAAATCCCACCAAAGCCATAGCGGTTAGTTTCGGGGAAGCGTTCGCGCTCTCGAGCTAAACGGTAACTGGCGCATGGCGTACGATCCAAATGAGGCTAAAATTAAAAAAAAAATTGGATGCTTCTTTTACCGCTTTTGCATCCGTGCCGCTTGTGATAAAATTTTAAAAATTTATTGAAAGAAGTGGTTGTAACCTATGAGCGCGGCGTGCCTGGTTCCGTGGCGCGGGGCGGTGGGGAGTGGTGGGGGAAGCAGCGGGTCGCCGTGTGGCCACGCACCTCGAACGCTCTACAGAGCGTTCTGGCTGTACCCAACACTCACATTGCACTCTGCAGAGCGCTTCGATGCGCTCAATAGGGCTTTTGGAGCTGGAGACGCGGTGCGTGGAAGCACTCTACAAACACCCGACAACGCTCTGTAGAGTGCTCCGTAAAACGCTCGAAGTGATCACAATTTCACCCTGCGAACACTCTGTAGGGCGATCTTAGAGCGTAAACGGTGTCTTTAACACGCCTTTTGAACGCTTTTGGCAACGACTCCAAACGCTCTAATCTTGTTACGATTTTCGCCAGGGTACTGGCGCATGCGCAGTAGCGCTCGCTGGAGCACTGGAGCACGACACGCACGCCCCCTTAAATTCAAATAGAGTACTACGGCGCTCGGATAAAAGCGCGCCGCCGCCCCCAGGTCTCCTCAGTTATTCACCGAGTGTCGCCGTGCCACGAAGTCCCTGCAGAAGCCGTCGCCGCTAAGAAGAGTCGCAGCCTAAGAAGAAAAACTGTCTTTATCAAGACAATGTCCACTCTCCTGGACATCCTGGAGGAATGGGACGGTGGGTGCTTCTACAGCACAGAGCTACTCGCCGAGGCCTACTCCGTAGCCTTGTTGGCCTTGTTCGAAGCCACGCCGGAGAAAAGGGCTGACCCTCGCGTCATCCCCTTCCTGGAGGCTGGCTATGCAGCCGACTGCATTGAGCAGGACGGCCTCGACACTCAGGCCGAGTTGGTCAGGGACCTGGCCTTGGCCATGGTCGGCGGCGGCCGCAAGCACCGCGGCGACGCGGCGCCCCGCCCCTCCCGCGCCGCGACACCACGCCGTCGGCCCGCACATCACCCGCGCAGGAAGGGTTGCCTACCCATCAGGCGCCCCGCCGGGGTGGAAAACGCGACCGTTCGCGCAGCCGCTCGCCGGAACCCACCCACTGCAGCCCCCGCAACCCCCCGTTGGAGGTGCTCGAGACCAGGGGGAGGCACCTGAGCGTTTTCAACGGCACCTTCCGAGAGGAGGTGATGCAAGTGTCTGGTCTAGGCAACACTTTACCGACGGAAGAGTTAATGGTCTCTCTTTTTGACACCATGATTGCCAGGCAACGCGAAGCTGTGAACGCCAACGACCAAGACAGAGTGATCCTTGAAGTGCAGAACGCACTAAACACTGAGAATCCTATATGGTTTTCCATGAGACGCACTGATCAGTTAAACGGTCGCGTCGTGTTAGACAAATTGTCCAGGGTTCTGAACTCTAATCAGGCCTTTCTGGTTGAAGGTCAACTAAGAGTGTCCTACATTCATGTGCCCTTGCCAGAGGCAGGAGGTCGACGTACTAATCGCGTTGTCAATGAGTCTTTGGACCAATGGGTAGAGAGAAAAGTTCGTGAGAAGCAAATTTATGCACCAGACAATGTAAATGATTCCATTTGCCTTACCCGCAGTGTTGCCGTTGCTAACAAGGGAACCTATTCAGGGGGTACACTCAGATTTCGACCAAACTTTTTTTTTCGAAAGAATAACATATAAGATTAAGAATGCACCCCAAAGTTGGTGCCAAGATACATGTCCACACCCCTCCTGACTTTTTTAAACCAAAAAAAGGGGTAAAATGGCCCATGTTTTTACATGCAACGAGCAGATTTTCGGTCGTAAATTGGGCAGTCGCACTAAATTTGTGCAAAATATGATAATATATGAAACAGACCAAAATTTTCTCTCATTTTCGTCACAAGGGGACCAAACATTGAAGGAAATGACAAAAAACTCGACTTCAAATTTTCCGATTCGATGTCCGAAAATGACCCATACACTGCAAAAAAGCTTATTTTACCCCTTTTTTAGGTTTTAGAAAATTGGTAAAGGGTGCAGATATATATCTTGGCACCAACTTTGAGGTGCATTCTTAATCTTATATGTTATTCTTACGAAAAAAAAAGTTCGGTCGAAATCTGAGTGTACCCCCTGAATAGGTTCCCTTGTAAGGCAAAGCTTGATATGCATAAAAATGCCTTTTACAAAATGAAGCTTCCTAATTCGGTTCCTCAGAGAAAAGAAGCTCATGCTCTATGTGCACTCGCACAAATTGACCCTCAACAAGTGTGTGGATTGGACGAAGTACGGCGGTTGCAGGACGCACTGACTGACTATAGAATTTGTGTGTTCACCGACAAAAAAGGTAATGATTGTGTATTTAAAGGGGAATACGTCGAGGGGCGTAAGAACATTTATTTATTATTGCATAAAGCACACTTTTATGCCATACTTTTCCCTTTTCAAGCATTTGTAAGGCGATTTGAGTGTCAAAAGTGCGTTCATTTTTATGAGAACGCAGGTGACCATCGATGTGAAGGATCTTGCTGGCGCTGTTATGGTCCAGTTCAACATGATGATCCCCTCGTCCCCCTGCGGCGCTGTAGTGACTGTGGACACCAATTTGCCGGCCCAGAGTGTTTTGAACTCCACAAAACCTTAAAACTTCCTCACAACGGCGTAGGGCCTACGTAGGGCCACTTCCTGATAAGGAAATGTACTGTTTATCTGGAATGAAGTCAAGTGCAGTGGACGCGTTCAATGAATGGTATGACAAACAGGTGTCGGATATGTATTCAATTTTAGGCGCGATATCGTGAAATATTGCGAAAGTGATGTCACTATTTTAAGACAGGCGTGCCGAACATTCAGGGCGCTTTTCAAGCAGTATGCCGGGTTTGACGCAATGGAGTCTTGCTTAACATTATCAAGCTCGTGTATGGCGTCTTTCAGGAGGAACTTTTTGCAGGAAGGTAAAATTGGCATCGTGCCTGCGGGCGGCTATCACGGACGGGGTAAGCAGAGCCACTTGGCGCTGCAATGGCTCGACTACGAGAGTCACAGGATTGGAAGAAAAATTCAAACTATCTATACTGGAAGAGAGATGGTCATACGGGGACGCCCTGTAGACGGATACCTAGAAGAGACTCATGCAGATGGACGGGTGGAAAAAATTGTGTATCAGTTTATGGGCGATTACTGGCATCAGTGTCTGAAACATTATCCGCCTCCAATGAATGGAACGGAAAACCGTTTGGAACGAACCAAGCGCATCACTGCACTGTTACGCGCGGATGGCTACACAGTTATTGAGAAATGGGAATGTGAATTTCAGTCTGATCTCGTCAACAATCCTGAGGTCAAAGCCTACTTTGAGCGGCACCCTACGACCCGAAGCACCCCCCTTCGACTCAGAGACGCTCTATCAGGTGGGCGCACGAGTGCACTCCGTTGGTATCACAAGGCTGACCTTGACAAGGGGGAGAAAATTAAGCTCTACGATGTTTCCAGCGAATATCCAAACGCCAATCTTAGATCTATTTACTGTCTTGGACACCCCACCATTTATCTGGAAGGTGACCCTAATGTACCCCCTCTTGATCAATGGAATGAGGTTGCGAAAATAACCATACTGCCTCCGCGTGACCTCTATCTTCCTGTCCTTGGCTACAAAGCCAAAGGAAGACTCATGTTTCCTCTATGCCGCAGTTGCGTAGAGGAGGACAGTCAAGAGCTTTGTCGTCATGAAGAACCAGACGATCGCAAACTTACTGGCACATGGTGTTCCCCAGAAATTAAAATGGCTGTGCAGAAAGGATATAAAATAATTTCTCTGCATGAACTTTACAATTACTCTGAAACCATGCAATATGATCCAGCAACGGGTAAGGATGGTCTTCTTTCAGCCTATGTACGCTGCTTTATGGGGCTGAAAATACAGGCAAGCGGTTGGCCGCCGCATTGTGACTCAGAGGAAAAGAAAAAACAATACATAGAAGATGTCCGGAATCATGACGGTATCTCCGTTGACGCATCAAAGGTTGAGAAAAATCCTGCTCTTCGTACTCTCTCTAAACTCATTCTAAACAGTTTTTGGGGAAAATTCGGGGAGAAGACTTTGAGAACAAAAACAGTTCTTATTTACAACTATGAGGAACTCATGGGTCTTGTTTCTGACCCAACAAAGACTGTTCAAAGTCTCATTCCTCTCAGTGAGGATTGTCTTCAGGTTGCTTGGAAACCTGTTGAAGACGGCGAGGAATCGCTACCTACTTCATGCCTCCTTCATGCTGCTTACACTACCTGTCATGGGCGGTTACAATTATATCAGTACCTTGACATTGTTCAGGAAAGAGCCCTTTATTTTGACACTGACAGTATCTGCTTTATAAGCAGAGAAAATGAACCAGAACCCCCACTAGGAAATCATCTCGGTGACCTTACTGATCAAATCGAAGAGGAGTATGGAAAAGGATCATTTATTACAGAATTTGTGGCGGGTGGACCAAAGAACTACAGCTACAAAGTAGCTGTCGGTGGAGACACAAAAAATATCAAAGTATGTATTAAAGTACGGGGCATAAGCATAAACAGTTCATGCGACAAACTTGTTACTTTTGACATGCTAAAATCTATGGTCTTTGGAGAGCGATCGAATATTAACATACCCATTCCAAGACAGATTGCCCGACTTCCCACTTGAAGTGGTGACACGACCTGCTAGGAAACTCTGGCAGGCCAAAAATGTCAAACGCCGACGAGTCGATGTGGCACGCACCGTACCACACGGGTTCAACGCCTACGGGGATGAAGACGAGGAAGACCAGGATCTCCTTGAAGCCCTGGACTTACTCATGGAGTGAGAGAAAGTGTGGCGTAGAACTAAAAGAAAAAAGACAAAAAAAAAAACGAAAAAAACTGAAAAAATGACAAACAAATGAGCGCGGGGGAGTTTGCAAGCCGGCCCCAGGGGAGAAGTAATGACAGCGCCTGGCAGCTAGGCCACCACTCAGCCCCGCAGAGCATGCGCGTACGCCACATTGCCTAACGCGACGGCGCTCTCGTCGCGCCGAGACTGAAAACGCGCCCGGACCGCCACGCCACGCGCCGCCACGCCAACCCGCCACGCCACGCGCCGCCCCGCCACGCCGCCCCCGCTCGCGCCGCCCCCCGGCCCGCCCCCGGCCCGGCCCCGCGCCGCCTCCCGGCCCGCCTCCGGCCCGGCCCCGCGCTGCCCCGCGGCCCGCCCCCGGCCCGGCCCCGCGCCGCCTCCCGGCCCGCCCCCGGCCCGGCCCCGCGCCGCCTTCCGGCCCGCCCCCGGCCCAGCCCCGCGCCGCCTCCCGGCCCGCCCCCGGCCCGGCCCCGCGCCGCCTCCCGGCCCGCCCCCGGCCCGGCCCCGCGCCGCCTCCCGGCCCGCCCCCGGCCCGGCCCCGCGCCGCCTCCCGGCCCGCCCCCGGCCCGGCCCCGCGCTACCCCGCGGCCCGCCCCCGGCCCGGCCCCGCGGCCAGGCCCAGAGTATGAAGCCTCGCTGACAAGGGAACCTATTCAGGGGGTACACTCAGATTTCGACCGAACTTTTTTAGGGGTTCCGACGAAGGAGGACCCCTATTGCCCGGGACGGAAAAATTTTTTTCTTCCGCCGACGCCAATCTAAAAATGGTTTCCGCCAAATTATTCCTTATCGTAAAAAAATAAAAATTCCTGAAAATTTCGAAAATTTATCGTAAGAATTTAACGTAAACGACAAAAACATAAATTTGCAACAATGAAGCACCCTTATCCCTTCACATTTTCCAGAAACGTTTCAAAGACAAAATGTGCTACTCCCCAAAACTAAGCATCCTGACACATCAAAGTGACAAAAAATCGCCTGTGTTCTAAGAAAATGGTTAAAACATGAAAAAAAGTCTCCATGGCAACGACACAGTGCCATCGTACCAACTGTCAAAATTTAAAGTCGCTGTTAAAAAGAAATCGAAACGCCGTGAAATTCGAAAATGCCAATGCTAACGCATTGCACCGTGTCGCACCATTGGAACATCTTTGAAGTCTGTCAGTAAAAAGTTCGTAGCAGAAAAGACGCAATAAATTAATTTTCGGGGGTTGGCAACAATTTTGTCGGCGTCTGCGCCCTTTCGAAAATCGCGGGGCTGAAAAAACGAGTAGTCGCGCATTGAAACTGCCCCTCCATTGTTGCTGAGGTTGGATTGTTTGGCTTGCTTTTAAAGGTTGCGGTTCTCTTGTGATGTTTTCCTCAATTCTGTAATCAGCACGACGGTTGGTTTGACAAATTATATAAACTCGGAACGCAGATGACTTTCGTTTGGCGAACATGAGCACTGTAAGTCGCGAGATCGCGAGATGGCCTGAGATGGCCATTGTGTTAACTGAATCAGGTTTGGGATGTAAAAATACCGGTAGGATTCAAAGTTACGTAAACAACGGTAAAATTAACGTAATTTACGTTTAGACGACAGACTCCAAATTGATTTCCACAACCGGAACACCGTGCAATGCGATAGCATTGGAATTTTTTTTCGTAAGAATAACATATAAGATTAAGAATGCACCTCAAAGTTGGTGCCAAGATATATATCTACACCCTTTACCAATTTTCTAAAACCTAAAAAAGGGGTAAAATAAGCTTTTTTGCAGTGTATGGGTCATTTTCGGACATCGAATCGGAAAATTTGAAGTCGAGTTTTTTGTCATTTCCTTCAATGTTTGGTCCCCTTGTGACGAAAATGAGAGAAAATTTTGATCTGTTTCATATATTATCATATTTTGCACAAATTTAGTGCGACTGCCCAATTTACGACCGAAAATCTGCTCGTTGCATGTAAAAACATGGGCCATTTTACCCCTTTTTTTGGTTTAAAAAAGTCAGGAGGGGTGTGGACATGTATCTTGGCACCAACTTTGGGGTGCATTCTTAATCTTATATGTTATTCTTTCGAAAAAAAAAGTTTGGTCGAAATCTGAGTGTACCCCCTGAATAGGTTCCCTTGTGAGCAGAGGTGCAGACATCAGTGTCACGATGTCAGCCGTGAAGTATGCCACGTGTGACATGCAGCTGATGCAGGGAAAACAAGCTAGGGCCCGCCCTTCCGTCGAACCGAGTTGCCAGCTCCGCTTCGCTGCGCCAGCAACTCGGTTCGACAGGGGGCCGGCCCAGCTTGGCCTGCCGGCGGCCTTTTCTCGGGCCTTCGGCCCTCGCATCAGGCCCAACTTGGCCAGTCGAAGGCCCGGGCCTTCGGCCCGCTCGCATCACTCACACCGTGAGCGGGTAAAGCAAAGTTATCGATGTACCATCGTGACTTAGGCCCGCCCTTCTATTCACAATATGCAATAGTCCTTACACTTTTTACTCCAACTGTCCTAAGAATATGCCCATTTCATTTGTCTCTTCGCCCTCATTCCGAAAATACCCGTATTTGCCATGCTACTGCAACTCCTTGCAATAGAGGCACAGCAGGAGCGCAAAACGAGTCCGTCGCACTTTTTCCCATAACTCATGAAGGCGGGCTCCTGGACCCCCCTTCCAACCCCTCGTTGAAGAGGTCTTGCCAAGACCTATCCAAAACTTAAGTAAAAATTTTCAGTCGGTCGACCCCCTTTTCTCAAGATCCTGATGTGACTAATAGACGAAGTCGGGCTCCTGGACCCCCTTTCCGACCCCTCGTTGAAAAGGTCTTGGGGCGTTCCACGTCAAACCATCATGGTCCAAAACGTACTTGCTCAGATCCGGCCCCCAATTTTTTATCTGGTAGTGTACCACCCAAAGAGCACTCTCATAAATTTTTTTGAAAAAAAATTCAGAACTTTGGCCGCAGTAATTTTTTGAAACTTCCAAAAAAAATATATATTTTTTTTCAGTTTTTTTTTTAAATTGTGTATCTAGGTGCTCAAATGGGTTGAAAACAGTAAAGGGCAACATAAAATAGTGGGAAAAAAAATTGGGACCCCCAGCCCTTACCAGAAACAAAGTTTACGATAAAAAAAACACGGTTTCTTGAATTCCCAAAATACGCCGTCTCACTTTTGGACCATATTGGCATCAAAGGACCCCAATGGGGTACTCTAACTGTCACTAAAAAATTAGGGACGGCAATCCATAAACACCAGAGATATTGTCAAAAAACTCTAAAAGTTATCGAAGGTTATCGAAGCTTTTTCCCTCAAAATTGTCAAAATGGGACCTATATTGGTTCCGCTGAGGCACTGTGCATTAAAATACTATTCAATTGTCTGTCTTAACACCATGGAAGATGTGAGAGAGGTGAAGGTCAGCATTACAAGAGTTTTGGAATTATACGGCAATAAGTTTTTTTTAATTATAATAACCAAATGCGACAAAATGCATTATTTGGCAGTCGCCAACTGAAGCTCATTGATTGCTGGGGACTTCATCCGGGTCATCTTCATTTTCTTCCTTTAAGTCTCCAGCAGTTGCATGGTCAAGGTGAAGATGGCCCGGATGAAGTCCCCACGAATCAATGAGCTTCAGTTGGCGACTGCCAAACAATGCGTTTTGTCGCATTTGGTTATTATAAGTAAAAAAAACTTATTGCCGTATAATTCCAAAACTCTTGTAATGCTGACCTTCACCTCTCTCACATCTTCCATGGTGTTAAGACGGACAATTGAATAGTATTTCAATGCACAGTGCCTCAGCGGAACCAATATAGGTCCCATTTTGACAATTTTGAGGGAAAAAGCTTCGATAACCTTCGATAACTTTTAGAGTTTTTTGACAATATCTCTGGTGTTTATGGATTGCCGTCCCTAATTTTTTAGTGACAGTTAGAGTACCCCATTGGGGTCCTTTGATGCCAATATGGTCCAAAAGTGAGACGGCGTATTTTGGGAATTCAAGAAACCGTGTTTTTTTTTATCGTAAACTTTGTTTCTGGTAAGGGCTGGGGTCCCAATTTTTTTTCCCACTATTTTATGTTGCCCTTTACTGTTTTCAACCCATTTGAGCACCTAGATACACAATTTAAAAAAAAACTGAAAAAAAAATTTATATTTTTTTTTGGAAGTTTCAAAAAATTACTGCGGCCAAAGTTCTGAATTTATTTACAAAAAAATTTATGAGAGTGGTCTTTGGGTGGTACACTACCAGATAAAAAATTAAGGGCCGGATCTGAGCAAGTACGTTTTGGACCATGATGGTTTGACGTGGAACGCCCCTCTTGCTGAGACCAATCGAAATCTACAATAAATTTTTTTAGTCGGTCGACCCCCTTTTTTGAAGATCCTGATCTGGCCAACTTGTAAAACCGCCGATGGGGTCGGGACCAGGTCCATTCATCTTGTCTCGTCGCCCCGATTCCAAAAATACCCCTATGTGCCCTGCTAGCACCAGTAATGGCGGAAATCCCCCTCCCGCTCATGTAAACCATGATGCACCTGCAGCAGCCCTTGTGCGACCCGGACGGGATTTGCACCACCGGATTATTTGTTTGGACGGTACTCCTGAAGTACCCTCCAAATCTGGTTACTCTAGCTCAACTCCTTCCTTGTACACAGACGCCAACAACAACAACAACAACAACACACAGACACAAAGGCAAATGCATAGGCCCTCCCCCTATTTTTTGAATAGAAGGGCGGGCCAAAAAGGAGCTTACCTAGTCAAAGAGTTTTCAATATTCAAAGCGCAAAAAAAATGGCGAGTTCATTGCCACGACCACTTTTGGGCCGCCCTACACTGCCAAATCACTGAAAAAATCAGTGAGACAGCAGAATGAAGATCTGACATTCAATAAACATGGCCTGGAATGGGATGAAGGCGAACGTCCATACTCCACGCTGATAAGCACGCTGGAGTGTCTCACTGCGCCATTTGCAGTACTCTACG